CCTGTCACCTTGAGCAGGTTCTTTAACTGTCTGTTTCTTAATCATTTACCATCTGTTAGATTGGAGAACTTCCTCCATGGTTTTATAAAGATTAGATAATAACTATAAAGTACTTCTGGAAAAAAGCTCTTGGAAAAGGTGTAGCAAGGATAGATAATAGCTTATTATTAACTGCCAAAATGGAATCAAACTATCCGACTCATAAGAAGGGGGAATTGGCTGCTAGGCACTGAACATCGGACAGAGCAGAACTCATGAATCAGTAACAGTAGGATGTGCGTCCCTGTACTGAACTTCTCATGTCACAGAAACATTTCTGACTTAGAACTAACATGAGTCTTGTGGGACTCACAAAGTTAAAATTGAATCTATGCCTTTCACTCATAAACACTTAAATTTAGGAAAACTGATGAATTAAATGTAGGAAAATAGAATGTCTATGAAGGAGCTATTCCCCCTGCTTCTAGCCAGTATTTCCAAGGCTGATTGCCAGCCAGGAAAAGACATGTTGAGAACAGTACAGCAGAACAACTACACCTTCAGGTCTGGAAAATCTGCTTCTATAGGAGGTAGGTCTCCAGCGTGATTTTCCAGTAGCAGCTCTCTGAAGGAAGGGTAGCTCACTTGAAGGAGATGAGGTCATAGAATCAGAAACAAACCAGGGACACCTGACCTACAAGTGAACTTAGATTAGGGAGTAGATAAGATCACCTCACTAAGAGGCAACCAGGAAATCGCCATTGGAAAAGTAAGAAAACATATTCTTGTAGGGCCAGTACCTTAATTGGCCTTCATATTTATTTTAAGAGCATCCCACTGAAACATGGTAATAACTAAAGAAGAGTAAATACAGAAGACAGAATTCTGGGAGAGTCTGTGGATACAGGTGTGTATTGTAGGCGTGTTTTTGCAAAATTTCTATGTGATTATCTTTTTATGTAGTTATAGGCTCTCTTCTTCTTTAAAGGAATCCTATCGTACATTCTTTTGTAATAAGCAGAATCTTTTGGCAAGAAGAGAATTTCTAACCATTTAACTCTTAAAAGAGTAATGGTTGCTAAAGATGTTAACAGTATAGGCAAATGTGATTAATAAATAGTTATGTGGGTTTCTACTATATGTATGTAAAGCACCATGTTTGGATTGTAGAGCATAAAAGAACCCATAGGAAGCCACCTGTCACTGAGCTAACAATTTGATAAAGATGGTTTTCTCTGTATAATTTATTATGTAAAAAATAGCATAATGCTAAACAGAAACTAAGATCAAGAGAAAACTGTTAGCTGTATGAAATTGAAGAAATGCATCATGAAGCATATGAAATCTGAGATGGACATGGAAAGACTTTAACAAGTAGAAGAAGGAAGCATTTTCAAGGCAAAGTAAAAACAAAAATAATACCATCAAAATACAAAACAACGAATTGTGAAACCACATGGTGGGGAGTGTGGACTTGGGAGTGTGTCTGTCATGATGAGGAGTTTCCTCCCTCTATTATATAGATAATGGAAGATCATTAACTGTTCTTGAGAATGGGAATGGCATCATTAGATTTGTGCTTAAAAATGATTAATTGGCAGTGTGGTGAATGAATTGCAAAGCAGAGTGTGTGAACAGAGCAAATGAAGTACTTATTAGGATAATTGGATAATGTACAAGAAAACACTGAGTAAATTCATAAATAACCAAGATGCCAAGTGTAAATTGTTATGATTATTATAGTGAAGGGGAAAAAATGAAATTATGAGTGCCTGAGGTCTAAAGGTGTCAAGGGTGTAAGAAGCAACATATATTTGAGAGACATTTTAGAGATAACAATAATGGTAATACAATAAACACCTACTACATGAATATTTTGTCCTGGGAATTATTTGAAATGCTTTGAATACAGTACTTAATTTAACCCTGATGGATCTTTAAGAAAGAGCAACCATTTAAAAAAAAAAAAACATTAATGGAGCAGACATGACGGTGTTTGCTGAGATCTTCCAACTGATAAGTGAAGTGAGGAAGTAAATGTGGGCAGTTGGCCTCCAGATAGTCTCCTAAGCATAACTACATAAGGAGGTGGTAAATTTTATGCAGCAGTCAGGACATAGGAAAAATAAAAATTGATCTATAGTCACCATTCTGAAAGTCCTTTGTAGAACTAGTTTTTTAGACAACTAAATTATGTTATGCAAGACAGGAGTCTAACATCAATAAAATATTGAGTTAAACAAAATAAACATTAAAAGCTTTTATGTTTCCATTGCAAACCTCCAAGATAGTGTTATATGTCTTTAAAATTTCCCAGATCATAAGTCCCTTTTATAACTGAAGCTTTTGTAGGATTTAGTGTCCCTGGAATATGATGTGGAAGCATCCCATTATATTTCATTATGTTATATTATATTAATTATAAGCTGGAGACATCTTACTGTGGGCACTAGGTCCAGGAGCAATGGTGCTGTGGATAAAATGGGAATTTGGTTTGGACATTTAGAATGGCACGTGCCTAATAGAAAGACGTAGAATAGAATTATGTAGATTGAGTTTCAAAAGATGAACCAGAATTGGAGGTGTAGACATGCTCGTGCCTCAGGCATCATATGTCCTAAGACAAGGACACTTTGAGCTTGATGGCAATTCTGAGGTCATTAAGGATTGAAAAGGCCAAAGATGGAGACCAGGGGCACATTTTGGATATGCAGCTATATATGATGTATACAGGTGCATCAGCAGTTTGTACAGAGCTCAGCTGGTGTCTAGCTGATACTTAAATCTACTATTTTGTTTAATTACTTCTAAGCAATAAATTCTGTTAAATTTTAGTATATCTACATGCAAAACTTGAATCACAGATAGTCTTCTAACAACCATATTTTTTCCAGTAGAGTTAACCAAGGAGGAACATTTATTTCTTAATTTATAAAGGTATTAGCCTGATTGATTTAAGGAGAGATGCCCTTAAATATGAACAGAACACAATGCCCCACAACTGTGAAATATAAAGTTAAGAAAATATTAATAGTTCCTGAAAGTGAATGCAGCCTTGAATTTCAAAGGAGAGGTCTCATATTAATTTAATCCATGGCAACAGAGTATTTTTTCTCAAACCAAATATTTCCAGGAGGATCTATTTTAGCAACAACATCTGTGAACCATTCTAAAGAGTTGCAATGAAAAATAAAAATCATATAATATCTGGACAGAAATGAGAAAAGCCAAATTGGAGTCCTCTCTGGAAAATGAGGTTTAAATTACGTTTTAAACTTACAGACTTTTTGGGGAAAGGTAAAACAATATCATATTTAAATAATTTAAAAACAAGTCGTGTCAGGAAAACACACAATTGAGTTTGTTGAGGACACTGTAATGTCAAGGCCAATATTGACATAAAAAAAGCTAGAATTAAGGAGACAAAACTTTTTTGCTATTTCCTCCATTCTCCCAGCCTTCCTCCAGTTCATTTTACACACCTTTTCTAGATGAGTACACCTAAGTATGGGTCCTATCATTGTTATGCTTACAAAATCTTCATGAATGTCTGCCTGATAGATCTTAAAATCCAAACACCTTAGAGGAACATCCCGGTCTTGAAAGTCTAGGACCTCATGTGCTCCAGTCTGCTCTCCCCATCCCCTTCAACCCTCATCCCATCCTCTTCTCCTTTCCTGTCTCTTATTTTAACAATATATTTTGTTAGCCTAACATATTCAAAATGTTATTTCAAAATGCGCTTACTACAAAGCATCATTAACGAGATCTTTTACACGCCCCTTTTAAGTCCAATGATACTTGATACTCTGCATGCATGGCACATTTTGGGTAGCCTAGCATGTTTCCAGAGCTTAGAACAACCCAAGGATGATGACCATCACATTAAACTTCTCTGCATTAGTTAATAAATGTGAGAATTTCAGATTTGAGAAACAGTTCGAATGATTTTTGAGTGCTGGGCCTGTGTTTCATAAGAAAACGGCTAAGCAGGGACCAGGGGAGAAAGCCAGTAAGCAGTGTTCCTCCATGGCCTGTGCTCCAGCTCCTTCCTCCGGGTTCCTGGCCTGAGTTCCTACCTTGGGCTCCCTGATGAACTGTAACCTGGGAGAAGTAAGCCGAATAAACCTTTTCCTCCCCAAGTTGGTATTGGTCAGAATGTTTTGTCACAGCAATGAAGAATCAGTCTAGGTCATCCTCCTTCTTTGATTCCTTTTCATATCTGACCAGTTCCAGATAGAGGCAAATCTCTTCTCTCCAACATTATTACATATACAATTCCTAACACACTGAATTACTTTCCAAGTGTTATTTCCGCTATATAGGAAGGCCATGTGGTGCAGCAGAAAGATTCATGCAGACTTGAAATCTACCAGACGTCAGTTTCAAAAACCATCTCTGTGTTTTATTAGCTAAGTCACCTTTGGAAATTCTTTAAACCTGGCTGAGCCTCAATTTTCTTATCTTTAAGATGGAGACAAGCCGTCATGTGTAACATTCCTCAGTGCTCTGCTTGGAACATAGACCTTAACAGGCATCAATCTTATTTTCGATGGAGTTTAATCCCAAATTTGTTTTCTAAATACGTATATAACATCTCCAAAGACTGGAGAAAAATTACTAACTTCATTCTTGTTATCATAGTAAGAGAAATAATAAGTATACAAAACTTAGTGTCTTATACAGAATGAAGGAACCTTGGTACATGGCATGTTTGTTGCTGTTATTAGTTAGAAACATATATGGCTTGTGTATGATTCACCTTTGAATTTCTGCCAGTGTTCCGCAGTATTTGATTGATACTGATGGTATGTGTACCTCCATATGCCTGGATGAGGATTATGAAGTACAAAATTATGATTTGGGCAGTCCAAAGACAGGTGCAAATGGTAGGATTTATTTCTAAAGGAGTTAAAATGAGTAAGTACTTGTAAGCTTGGCAGCCAGTGTAATACTACGAGGAGCAGAGCACAGGGGAAAACAGTGGTCTAAGTTGCCTTTCTGCAAAACAAATCACATTCTTTGATTCTCATCCTTTTGGATGATATCAAGTATATTTTTTTGTTCTTATCAGTTTAGTACGTGATATGTTCTCTGTCCAAGGAAAATATATTAAATGGATTTTGGAGCAGGGAGATGGAGCAGAGCTTGATCCATCCATCCACTCTTCAGTCTGTTAGAACACACCTCTGGGAATGGTACACCCCCTCTGTGGACTCAAAACTTAATAGGTAAATAAAGAATATATAATATATACTTTCAAAATACATTTTAACTAGGGTCAGGTCCACAGTTCATCAGTGTGAAGTGCATTAACACTGTTGTAATCATCAGCCTATGATTCTGAGATCTTATAAACACAAAAGTTTATCCCCACTAAACAATAACTCTATACTCTCTGCTCAGACTATGACCACCACCATTCTATATTCTGCTTTTAAGAAGAAAACATTTTTTAATGTTTTATTTATTTATGTATTATTTTACAAGTATGAATTTATTGCTTGCATGTATGTAAGTGCACCTGTGTCATGCAATGCCCATGGAGATCAGAAGAAAGCATCAGCTCCCGTAGAACTGGAGTTACATATGGTTGTTGTTAGCCACCATGTGGGTGTTGAGACTCAAACCCGGGTCCTCTGCAAGAGCAGTCAGTGTTTTTAACCACTGAGCAATCTCTCCACTCCCAGAAAACATTTTTAAAAGGAAAAAAAAAGGGGGCATTTGATGATGAATACTTTCATATCACAGGAAGAAAAAAAAAAAGGAAACTGGGATGTCACTAGCAAACAGCCTGTCACATACCAAGTTAATGAGACTGAAATTTGGAACAGGTTGGTCCTGGCTGAGAAGCCAGGAATGAATATCAAGTCCTGTCTAGGAAGCAAGAGGTGGAGCAGTTCAGGAAGTCATAGTCAGTCTTTGGGTATTAGAACAGACAAGGGCCAAGAGCTAAATTAGAGGAGACACTGAATTCACAGTCTGAGGGGAAACAAGGAGACACCAGTCAGAAGACAGAGAAAATGGAGAAAAGGAGATGGAGAAGGGAGGGACAGTAAACATAAGTCTTACACACATGTCTGACTGTCTTGGCCTATCATGGACCTCCTGGGCAATGTTGGGAGGGGCAGATTGCATGTCCCAGACGGACTGAGAGGAGATAACAAATGAAGGAAGAACCCTTCTCCCTCTTCCTTGACCAACTGGCACTTGTAAGCACCAAGGCTCATAAATCTTTTCACCTGAAGTCACCACTATAAAGTTATTTTTTTGGAAGAGTGAAGAAAAAGTATTGAAAAACATGAAACAACAGGATTTGTCAAGTTTCCACCCACTTTTAGATGGGTCAGCTGGGGAGAAAAGGAGTTTAAGGAAAACAAGGCGGAAAAAAAAGTCCAAACCCCAAAACTTCTAAAGAAAAATCATGAGTCCAAGCTTTTTTTCCAGCACCACCCAATCTTTTTATATATGACCTCTGGCTGGTTCAATCCACTGGCCTTTGGCTCCCCTTAGGATCAATTTACTTGTAATTTTCAGGGACTTTGCATACAAAACAGCTTCATTGAATGAAACCAGATATTTTTCTTATCCTTCTATGGTGACTATTTCAGTGTTTTGATTCCCAAAATCACTCCATGAACTTATTGAAAGTTAAAGCTCACTGGTATACATAACTGAAAACTAAGGTTAACCCAAGGAACAAAACAAAACGACCTTTCATAAATCATTTAGCTACTGTAAATAAGTCAATACCTTGACTGTGAAACGCTGGAGAGGACATTCCCTCCTTGTTGCACATCTGTCTTACCTGGAGTGCATGGTAGTTCACATGGATAGGAGGACAGCAAAGTCTAGAAGGAGACAGGCTGAGCAAGCAGGTGGGAAAAGGCCTATTCATTCTGCAGTCAGTGAGCACTAGGAACACAGTGATACGTAGACATTCAGACATCTTTTGTCCTTGGACCTTGCAGTCTGATGTGGAATAAGAGAACTGATGTTCTAATGTGATACAAAGAGTTAAAACTAATCCAGAAATAGCATAAGATGGTGACATGCCACACATGAGAAGTTATAGGATGATGATAACCAGCATAACAATGAAAGAGAAGAGATGATCAGAATGGAAAGCCAGCTTTTTTAAATGAAGTAAACAAACATGCATGTGTGATTTACTGCATTGCAACCCTAGCTTCTGCTTTTACTCAGGTACAGCAACATGGTGCTCATGTTGTGGAGTCTCTGGACCAACGATGGGAATTTAATCCAGTTATCTTCCTGCTTTACTACATTGATCCTTCTACCTTCGTGCCTTAAGTCTTTTCTTGTCCCCCGATGCTTTGGTTTTCTATTTCTTCTGCAACTAATTTATACAAATTAATTGACTTAAAACAACACATTTATTACTTTACCATTCAAGAATGTCAGTACAAGACTCAACTGGCACAGAATCAAGGTATCAGCATAACTCCACCCCTTCGAAGACTCTAGGGAAGAATCGATTCTCTTGCCTTTTCCAGCTTCCAGCTCACAGCCCCTCCCCATCTTCAAATCCCATGACATAGCACCTCTGGGACCCTACTTAGTAATTGCTTTTCTTTTTCTGATCACAATTGCAAAAGAGTCTCCATTTTTAAGGGTACAAGTGACTAGATTGAGTCCAGCTGCATAATTAAGGATAACTTCCCTAATTCAGAATCATGCATGCAAAATCGCCTTTGCCATGTGAAATGTTATATTCACAAGTCCTAGGATGTAGGACATGGACATCTTTAAGGATTATTACTCTGCATACTACATTGAGGGATTAGAGCTTCAGGTTCCATATGGAAGAATTGAAGCCTATCATCCCTGAAGAAATCTTTCATTTCTTCAGATATTGGCTAAAGGGATTATGGAGAAAGCAATGTGTGAATTAATTTATGATAAGGTTATACTGGCTGATACAGTCTATAGTTTCTTATAGCATTGGCTCATAAATCTTAAAAAGGAAACTTTGGCCTCTGGAGATGACTCAATGGGTAAAAACACTTGCTGTACGATCATAAGACCTTTAGTCCAAATCCCCAGTACCCATGTAGAAAGCCAGGTATGTTGTGCATGCCTATAACACCAGCTCCAGAGACCAGAGATGCACAGATCCCAGGAGTTCACTAGTCAGGCAGCCTAAGCAAAATGGTGAACTTGTAGTTCTGGGGGGGGGGTAGGCTCTCAAAGCAGTAAGGTAGAGAGTGATAAAGGAAGACACCAATATAATCCTCTGGCCTCTCCATGCTCGGGCACAGGCGCATGCATCAGCACACTCCTGTGCATGCACCACACATACATAACCACACACACACATACACACTCAGGAACCTTTAAAAAGTTGGATTTCTAGCTATCTTTGGTAAGTATATACTTCTTGATATCAACTAGACTTTTCTCTTTTGAGTGACCATATAAAGGCAACAGAGAAGGAAGCAAATAAAACGTAGAAACTTACCCTCAATATAAGGAAGGGACAGTGGTCACAACACTTTGCTTTCTTACCCTTTTTAGTCCACTTGTATAGTGCCAAGGTCCAAGCAACCTGAACAGGGGCATGGATTTACCATCTAAATGGCTAGACAGAAGCTTACAATGAGGAGATCATGCATGAAATAGAAACGCTTTGCCTAGGCTTTGGCTCCTCAATTTTACAGACTCTGATTTTTTCATCATTCATCTTGTCAAAGCAGAAACAGTTGACTCTGTCTGATAGAAAGCCAGGGTAGTTTCCTAGTAAGTTCTACACCTCGGTAACTCTCCTGCAGAGCCTGTGACCACTCCAAAGCATGCACTACTGCTGCTGTCTTGCATGACTCTTGCTCTGTCTTAGTGTTCACACTCAAGTACATACTAAAACCTTTTGATAAATTCAAATTCTGCTTCATAAAAAAATCATCTTTTCCTCAATTCCTGTTTCCCTTCCACCTCTATACCTATAATGGAAACATCCTGAGGCCCATTTCAGCACTGAGCACTGGGGTTGGCTCGTGGTATGTACCTGAATTAGTTACTTGTGGCCGTGACCCGAGAAGAAGCGATTTAGGGGAAGAAGAGTTTATTCTGGCTTATGGTTTGAGAGTATACAGCTATCACACAGAGGAGGCATGGAATAGGTCATACTGCATCCACAAGCAGAGAGCAGAGAATGGGCAGGAAGTGGGGCTAGCCTGTAAAACCTTAAGGCCTGCTGTCAATGTCCCACTTCCCCTAGCAAGGCTTTATAATCTTCCAAAACAGCACCACCGACTGGGGACCATGCGTTCAAATGCAAGCACCTAGGAGGACATTCCACATTCATATTACAACAGTGCCTATTGAATACTGTGTGAGTGAATGATGTCTTAACTAGGTGGCTGAGCTATGATTACAGTGGCAAGAGCTTGCATTTACTGAATACCTACTCACAGTGCTAAGTCACATTTCACATATTTTCTAGTTCTTCATATTTTATTTCCTTGACCTTTCCAATAATCTCTAAGATTGGTATTCTTGGTTCTATCTTAAGACTGAAGATTTTTAAGAACCTTGCTCATGATGACACAGCTGGTACGAAGTCAAGGTTCAAAGCAAGGTCGGTCTGACACTAAAGCCTATGGTTCTTTGTGCCTCTTACCTGCTCTTTTCCTCCTGACCAGTGAGAAACCTAGGCTTAGATCTGAGTGACTAAGCTATGAGCTCAAGACTATAATGGTGGGGTGGGGAAAAGAGAACCAACGGTCTGGAGTGGTCCTGGGCATAATTATGGGCAAGGTTGGTTTTGGAATCCACTGTTTCACACTGTCTATGTTTAACACTTTTAATCGTGTTGTAATGATCATGTGCGTTATTCAGTTCGAGTCAAGTGAATACTCTGGCTGTCGTGACCGCCTTCTTCATGGATCCCTCACCTATTCTCTTTCCTCCTCTGTATGATTATACGCACAAACATTTTAGCACAAACTTTACAAAAGCATCAAACAAATTACCAAGCTTTGTAACTGGATCCTGTCTGGGTTGATCATTTAGAGATTTGATGACATCACCTCAACCCTTGTTCTATATAAATCAGAATTTTTTTTAAAAGGCCTAAACTATAGCAGAAAAGATAATTTTTTTTCATTCCTAGGATTGATTTTTATAATTCTTATTGAAATATCAATTTAAAAGAAGATTTTCTTGGTGCTTCTGGTTTGCTGTGACTGC